TTAGTATTTTTTGCCATATTAAATTTATTATTCCATGTTACACTACACATCACAACTGTACATTTTTTTTAACACTTTCAACAATTTGACATATTCATTTCATTTACCATCAACTCGTACAGACCGAATAGGATTATAGCCCAAGTTCACGCCGATGTCGCACCAATTCATTCTATATTGATTTCCTTACTTCGTTCATATGTGCGTCATCATCGCCCTCTGGTTCACCATCATCGTTGTCACCAACACCCGCAACATTTCGTATGTCGTTGAAAGTAAAATTCTCTGCATTCGCAACCTTGTTGAACGCTTCATCGTCGTTGGAGTTGCGGCGTATAAAATTATGTAATGCCGTTGAAGCCCCGACCAATGGCACCTGCACTTTCCCAAAATCATATCGAGGCATGTTATGTAGGAATTCCCATTGCGCTTTCCATACTTCGAACGTACGTTCAATTACACTCCATGAGGAGGAGTGCACCGTGTTGAAAACTTCGTTTGCATTTCTTGCCCGTCCAATAGCGCGAAACTCTTCCTGGTGGTACCGACATCCCTTAAATGGAGCCAAAAAGCCTTTTTGGTTCTTGTACCCCGCGTCAACGAGGTAATATTTTCCTGGTTGTAATTACATAATTTTTCATTAGTAACATTTTTCATTAATCAAATGCACACAACTAAAAACAACATTTACCACCCCTGATTCAGCTAACCTTCCTCTGGGTGTGGGAATTGTTTGGCCGGGTCCTGTGTTACTTCGTTAAAAACTCTACCGTCGTGCATACTACCCTCCCATCCGCAAGAGGTAAAAGTAAAACACAAGTCGAAATCACACATTGCAAGTATGTTTTGCATGTGCCGTCCTTTACGGCCAAAATATGGCGCTGCCTCCCGCGGTGGGAGATGTGCCTCCACGTGTGTGTGGTCTAGGGTGCCAATATAGTCCTGCACAATCACACAAAGCAATTGTGTAAGCGACAATGCCGAACACATTAACCCAAAATTTGTATTCCCTTGTTTTATGAATGTGGTTACTATTCATGAAATGCTCAGTAAAAGATTAAACTCACTCTAAATGGCAAATATTTTCGTCGGGCCTCTAAGTATGGATGTCTACTGTGTTGTGACCTTGTCAGGCGACAGTGTACAATTGTAAACAACTTCATTGCTTTAAGAACTCGTATTACATGATGCCATATTGTTTCCCTCGAGTGTTGGAAACGGTCTTCAATATCCTAACTCGTGAAGCCCCGCAACACGAATATAAACATGGCGACACTCTCAACTACGTCCACACCATGGGGATGTTGTGGTACCGGTAGGCCAAAATCCTCAACTAATGTCTTGCACAACAATAAGAACACATCCTTTGACGTTCAAAATTTTCTTTGAAATGCTTCATTCCGACCTCCAAGCATCTCCTCCATCCACATGCGACCTGTCAATGATGATGTGTGAAATGGAGTCCTGTCAACATACGCGTACTCGTTAGCAACACGTGCAATTTCCACCCATATCATTGATGTCGTCGATTCAATTTCTCCGATCGTCTCTCGTATCCACGTATTTATTTGCCCATTGCGTACCATGCCGGAGCTAGTACCCTCTTGCAGATCCATGCACGCTGCAAATAATAGATTTTTTTTTCTTTTCCAGTCATAAATACACTATGTACAGTTCCCAACATTGTGCTTCCCCAAATTGTGTTCAATACATACATTAATACCAAGATGTAATACATATTATTGGTAGGCACGTACTAGACCTCGGGCGGGGTTAGTCTATTGTGAAGTGAAGAAAAAAGAAAGCTGAATGTACCACCGAAGTGAATTTGGCAGGCAACACAACTCAGTTGTAAGTGTGCCACAGCTATAGTTTCCAAACGAACAGCCCCCCCATCATTTATAGCACTGGTTGCACAATTTAAAGTACCACAAACTGTTTCATGTGATGCACGAAACCAAATAGGTGACAAAACCATGTGAAAGGTACTACATGGTATAAGTGGGTACGAGAATCTATTCTGAAGCATGCCAACAAAATTAGCAAACAGTTTCATTTGCCATTAGTTTAACGTGAGACACAAATATTTACATAACTATTGCACCAGAAATTTTTGTAAACAATTCAATCCATACAGATATCCACATAAATACATACATCGAAAAAAATAATTAATAAATACACACGGAAATACTAATCAATAATAAAAAAATACAACACAATTACATAAAGAACAAAAAATTACACAAATATAATTAACTAACATGTGGGAAAAAATAAATTAATACACTCAAACAATTACAGAAATATATAAACGTAAATCAATAGAACAAACATATAAAAGAACATAAATCATACAGAAATGCAAATACATAAATAGTTACGTACAAATTAATAAAATAAATAATTAACAATTGAAATGTATGTTTTTTTGGCTGATAATCGAACAACAAATAAATAAATAATACGGAAATATTTATTACATAAATAAATACAAGCACAAAAATACATAAATAAATGCATATAGCAATTTAAACTAAATAAGAAAAACAACACGAACAATATATAAATAACTAAAAAAGGTAGGGAAATTTAGCTATAACCCCTTTTTACCTTCTTTTATTGTTAAAAAGACTAAGAAAAAAATTATACTTTCTAAACCCCCTCATAATTATAAAATCTTGCATAAAGGACAAAAATTATTATTTAAATATTTTATAGGACTATTATATACCCTCAACTCCTGCATATATAATCAGCTTCGTCATCAACTGTATCATAATCACAATAATTGCATCTTCCAAGCTTCAGCAAAAGGTCGTCGACAAGCCGCCGCCATAGTAGCATCTTCAAGCTTCAGCCAGAAGTCCTCTCTTCATCTTCAAGTAAAGATCAGTGACGGCTTTGAGTATGTTGAAATTGAATGAGGATGTCGTTGGAGATTCGAAAGCTAGGGTTTCGGAGCAGATGGAGATTCGGAGTGCGGTGGAGATGGCTCAATTGGAAGCGGAGAAGAAACATGATGAGGTTGTTGATGAGATGCTGGCGATGTTGAATGCGAAGGCTGAAGCTTCGAGATTGAAAGAAGTTGAACAGGAGGTTGGGAAGGATGTGGATGAGGAACAGTAGAATATATATATATATATATTTGTGTGTATGAGTGTTGTTGAACACATGTATTCTTTTTCATTGAGATGTGTGATTGTTGATCGAGTTTTAGAAGTTTTTCGTTTCAATTGGATATGTGGATTTGTTGATTAATTTGTTTTGTTTTTGTTTGTTTATTTTTTTTTGAAGTTTTTTTTCTCAATTAGATATGTTAATTTGTTGATTAATTTGTTTTGTTTTTGTTTGTTTATTTGTTTTTGATTTATTTTTGTTGTTTTTTTATCTAATTTCATTTGACAGAACCAGAGTAAAATTTTACTTTTATACAGAGTAAAATTTTACTTTTGTGTAGCATCCAACATTTTACTAGTTTTTCAGAGTAAAATTTTACTTTTAGTTTTAGAGTGTAACATTTTACTCTTATTCAGTGTAAAATTTTATTTTTATACAGAGTAAAATTTTACTTTTAATTTCAGAATGTAAAATTTTACTTTCATACAGAGTAAAATTTTACTCTGAAATATATAGTGAAGATGGCTTAATAGGAGAGCTGATAGATATGAGGGTAATATAGTAAAAAAAACAAGTTTTAAAATATTAGGGGGTTTTGAAAGTACTTATATAATTCTTGTCCTTTTGAAAGACAAATTAGATAGTGAGGGGGCTATCACCAAATCCTCCAAAAAGGTACATAAATAAAATTAAATAAATACATTGCACCAAAAGTAAACTACATAAAAAAAAAATACAAAAATGTAAACAAATAAATAAAGACAACAACAAATATATTAGAAGCTGCAATATCGTTCTTACAAATACATGCATAAATACATACAGAAATTCTGACAATAAATAAATACACAAATAAACAGTGCAACAAACATTGCTGACATGTAGTACATGATGCATCAAAAATAGATTCCATTGCCATGACAACTGTGCGTAACCAACATGCGAGACAATAGTGGAATGTCCTGCCTTGTACACTTCGCAGCCATGAACCAAATTCTCAACAATGGGTGAAAACCTACTCCTCCAATCTACCAATAGAAAGACAAATATGTTCAACGCTGCAGCCTGTTACATAAAAATAAAGTTGAAAAGAAAACCGTTGCTGTTAAATTTAATAGCAAATTCCATAACAATAACAAACAAGAATAATATAAACATATTCGGTTTGTTTCAAAACGTAACTAAATGCACCCAACAGCAATAAATAACTTAACGACAACACAATTGTCGAACATATCGTTCTTCCACAAAACAAGTTTGCAAAACAACACACGAAAAAAAAATGAAAAAAAAAAACGTCCAAAGCATAACATTCCACAAACATTCGAAGTACAGTGCTGTGGCAGCAATAAAAAAAGACAATCCAACCGCTGAAGCCTAGTCCATGTCAACCACACCATCACTCCCGAACAAACGTACGTCGCATTCACGTTCCCTGCCAACATTTGCCGGCGTGCAGGCACGCTTCTCTGTCAACCAGTTGACAATGTAATCCGCGGGGAGGGCCATGATGATGTCCCGATTATCGGGTGAATCCATTATGGCGAATGCGAATGAGAACAACTTACCGCCGGGCTCCAATCTAGGCGTGCTCATTAGCCTTGCAAGACAGTCGCCCACAGTGTTGTCACCCTTCCTAGTGACAACATACTGCTTAATTTTAAGTTCCCGGCTTTGTTTGCTAACAGTTTTGACGAGGTTGTCCATGCTACTAGCAACAGTACCAGGCGCTGCCTGCTTGCGACGTTTTGCATTTGCTGATCCGTCGGCTACTAACTGCGGGGGGGCATCGTCGAACAGGAAACCATCGACCACGTTCTCCCCAACAGTGTCGTGGCCCGAATGTGTTGGTGTGCCATTACTGAGAGGTCTCATCCCGTTGTCCTTGGTGGCATTGGCAGCAGTAGCATCATCATCACGTAGTTCAGTTGGAGTCCATGCATGCTTCCCTGTCGCAGCTGTGCTAGAATACACCCGTTCCATGAGCTCCAAGTGCTCTAGAGGCTTGGTCTTGAACTTTGCACATCGGTTGTTCATCTGAGACAGAAGAAAACACAAATGTAACTAAAGCTAGCAATATAGTTCCAGGGCTGAGAGTGTAGCAGCAAAGGCAGTAAAAGCAAATAATGCTGAATTACGTAATTCAAAATGTGCACAACTCACTTGTACTTTTTGAGTTGCAGGGATTGTAGCTAATAAGTATGAAACAATAATTGTAACCACACAATTAGTGCAATCATGGCAAGTTGTGCGATGCACAAGAAAAAATTTGACAACTGTTGCTTTCTAATGAAAACATTACAAATAATAAATGTGAACGTGCCACAATTAGCAGGAGGATAAAATTAGTGTATTAATGAATTTGTTTGATTTTTAAAAGTAGTTATGTAAACAACATGTGGTCGAACCATCAGAAATACCGATACAAGATAACTGGGGAAAAAAAATTGTTGCATTACATACCGCTTGCATTTTGGCCCACCAATGGTCAGGTGCAGTGAACAAACCCGTCTCTTGGCGTACCCAAGCCCTGTCAATCCTTGGGCGGCATTCTCTAACTTCTTCCACGCAACCCAATCTTTCTTCAAGTTGTCAAATTTGTTTTTCATCTGTTTGGCCAAATGTAGCAGTTCGGTTTTGTCCAAGAACTTGTTGGCAACATTTTTATACCCAGTCATCGACAATCCGCAAGGTTGTCGATTACCAACATCCATTTTAGCAATGACGAGTTGTAGAAACATCTTTGTATTGTCACTGTTGAATTGGCATTTGTGGACTGGCTGTTGTTGGGTTGCTGTGACGGCCTTGCCTCGATTCTTGGAAGGGGTACGGGGTGATGAACGGTTTGTTTCCATAAGTAGTACGATTGTTGTACCTGTAGTTATGAGAAATGCAATCCTGCTTGTAAAGTTAATGATGCATCATATGTTAGAAAGTTAAGAGTATGTATGTTTTCCGTGTCCAAATTTGAAATGGAAGTCATTAGACAAGTAATGAAGTTATACATATACTAGTACAATATTATGCAATACAGGACGAACACATTACTAACAACAACTACATAGGTGATACAAAATGAAACGTAAATGTAACAACATCCATGACAATGCATCAAATTCAAAACAACAACACAACAACGACGCACAAAACATAGACGACAGTTCTAAGCGCACATAGGCTCTGATCTATGTGAACAACGTCCGCACGTAACCCCATGTTGACAACATTAGGTGGGTGTTCAATAGCAAAGCTTTCGCTGCGAAACTTGTCACACCAACCCACGCAACACATCGCTACCGTACAAAAGTGAAATAGATAGTTAGACTGCATGCTATGCGACATAATGATTCATGAACAACCACATGACTAACTACATAAGAGAGGGGCAACACAAATGCACCGTACAACTAGAGCAAACGTAGTACGCACGGCCAGGGTTTTTGGGAGATTTGGGTATCTTGACAACGCAATGTCCAAAGCCACATACACACATCCTCGGTGGCCATGATGAAGTGGCAGTTGACATGGAGGACGCCATCTCTATAATCTTAGTATTTTTTGTGTACATGTTAGAAATTGAACTAATTTGATGTAGTGTGAAGAAGTAAAGAGTAAAATGGATACAATTAAACATTTGGAACAAAGGCAATACAATAACAAGAATCTCACTTATTGGACAGTTTTTAAGGGGATAAGATTTAAATATAACAGTGTGTACAAATTACATAGGTTTGCCTTAGTTAATTTGCCTCAGTACAACTTGCATAGGTTTGCATTAATTAGTTGATGAGTAGGGTTTTTTTTTTGGGGGGGGTTTCTTTTTATTAACCTAATGTGCAGCAACAAAAGAGGCTGAATGTATCTTCTACACAAAGTTGCTATATAAGTCAGATCCAGTTGAATCTGCATGTCTCTTTGTCTCAGGCCCATGGGTTGATCAATGCCTCACCAAGCAAAATGTCTTTGCTAAAAAATATTCCCCTATTGCCTTGGTAACTCAAATTTTTCCATCCTGTTTTCATATCTTTTATGCATGCATAACAAAGACTAGTACAATGACTAGTACAATTTTATTAATATTTTATGTTCGACAAGTCATTGGTATGAACTACTCATTGAAATCTTATTAAACATGCATAGGAGGAATCAGATTTTATATGAATTTCCACTCCGATATTATATGACCAGTCTCACAATTAAACTAACAGCAGAGGAAAAATTATAATGTACAAAACAGTTGGCAATAGTATAAACACATTCATTTACTAAAACCAACATATCTATACTTCGACTAAGACGAAAAAGTATGTATACAGTAGCTTCCTAAGTAGGAAAATAATAAGGATGAAGAGGAAAATATATATCTTGGCACTATTTTTTGCTATACACATTGTTTTGGTCTATTCAAATACATAAATTATATATGATTATCAACGATTGTAATTAAAAAAAAAAATAGCACGACATGAAACAAGTTTGCAAAATCTGTACGCGGACATATGAGCTAGTAACCAAAAAAAAAAAAAGAAGTCATAAACAGATAAATCACTTGACCAATCAATTCAAAATTGTATGACCATTAATTATAACAAGAGCGTGTCTTGCACGGAAGACTCAATCCACTATGCAACAAATTGTTTTCAAGGAGAAAACAGCGAAAGTAACACAGCAACATTCACCATGTTCCCCACAAGCCCCACATCCCCATACAAAAACAAATCAAAACTTAAAGGCAATCATATCCTTGCTATGATTTTCTGATTGAAGGAATTATTCGAAACTAATATTTTACCATCAAGATATCAAAATCCATTAAATATTGCCAATGCCCTAATTGAAGAAGTTATTATGGTCAAAGAGAACAATACCTTGTAAAGTTATACAACCATTTCAACGGAAAACCATCAAAGAGATGAAGAGAAGAAAAAGACGGAGTCTGGAGACCATTTAAACCATAAAAACCCATATTCGATTCCAATAAAAGAAAACCTTGGAGTTTTATAAATGTCTATTCCAACTGTATGGCATCATAAAATTCGTCTTTTCCTTTTCTGTTCTAAATAGTAAAAAAAAAAACAAACAAACAAACAAACAAAAATTCATTTTGTATTTTGTCAATTTAAAACAGAAATTATAACAAGAGCATGTCTTGCACCGAATTCTCAATCCACTGTGCAACAAATTGGTTTTTCCTTTTAGTTGTACAGTGATCGATCGAAAGCCAGCAATAGCAATGGCAGGAGAAGGAATGAGTAAATAGACGTGTTTGTGTTCACAGAACACCGACGGCGAAAGATCGGAAATACAAACATCACTGAGGGGAGGATCTGACAAGTGGAAGCAAGTATGGAGCAACATTACAACATATATAAGTTATACACCAGCTGATCCCTTGTTTTTTGAACAAATATTCCATGGAAATTGATCTGTCAATACTAGTGAAAAGACAACAGCGGAGAAGGGTTTTCGGCTTACCTGATGGTGCAGATCCGGCAACGGCAAGGATGTGGACGAGTATTTTGGCGGCAGCGTCGGCGGGGGACGACAATGTCATGGGTTGTTGGAGGGAGTTGCAAGCGCAGCGGCAAGGAGGAGGAAATCAACAACAGGGAGGAGGCAAATGAATGTGTTTTGCCCTAGGCCCCAATTTGTTAAGACGGAGGGTAGTTATGTAATTTGACAGACTTGCGTTTTTATCTCTTCCCAAATGGTGTTTGTTGCGTTTTTACGAAGCATTGCATTTTCCCCCTTGCATGAAAACGCTGCTTTTTACTAATGTTCCCAAAACAGCACTAAGTAAAATTTCATCTTGAAGCAAATTATTGCCAATCAATCAGCACTGTGTTTTCTGTCAAGCATCATGAATTTTGCATAGCAATGTGCAAAAACAATTAAATGAGATGAGACAATACATACCTGTACTGGCTTTCTCCTCAATACTTGAAATGCTTCTGCTCGCATTGACAAAAATCAAAGAAATTTTTTAGTTAGTATGTTATCTAGTTCATCTGCTTGCTTTACCCATACAACAAGAAAGAAAAAAAAAACATATAAGGTGATAAATCTGAGAAATGATGGTTATTTCTACTGTATACAATCATAAGGATAAAAGGAAAAAAAACAAAAAAAAAACAAAAGCAAAGAAGATGATGCTGAACATCTTGATGCAATCAACAAAGCCCTCCAAGTGCTATGTTCTATCTAAATTATAAGCTGAGGAGGCAATCTTCAACCAAGTTGTGATGCACTTGTTGAGCACAAATGGATATGAACATATATTTGAGGTTTGAGCTTAAGTGCTGCAGAACAAGTGCATCATAACCTCAAATATAAGTTCAAGTATTTAACATATCAAGTATCTGTTTGATTATAAAAACTCAAATATACTCACCATGACATATCAATTATATGAAAATGAAATGGCATCATGTGCTATTTCATCCATAACCAACGGAAAGAACTCAAGAATGTATCCAAATGTTAACTACTTTATCTCACCTTGAGGCTTATGCGCAATGAATTTATAGACGTTTCAATTAAGCATTTTTCAGCCTCATTTTGACATATTAAAACCTGAGAGAGGAAGTGCCAAAATCTGGATTAGGTCCATGGACAGCAATCAAATCGTTGAAAACCATATTGAATTAAATATAATGAAGAGCCACCAAGTATAGCTAGGTTTCAGCTATATAAACTTCGAATTGCAAGAGGTACTGAAATATAGGAAGTTAAGGCTGGAGTGCATTACAAACAATTAAAAAAAAAAACTACGATTGGCAATCAATAACATGTTACATAACCAAATCAATAGAAATTTTCATTGATGAGCTATAAGCACAACACAATTCAAAATACCTCATAAGCTCCTGTCTCTCTATGAACCCTTGCTGTTTGAGATCATAAAGTTGAAATGAAACTGCAAGGGAGAAAAATTTAGGTTAATTGAATACAAATCAAATCAAAATCAAAACCCTAGAAATCAGAATAAAAACTCTAGAAATCAAATCAAAATCAAAGAGAGATGAGAGAGGATAAACTGAATTAATAGAATAACGGATGCAATCCAAGGCTCTCACCAAATTAATCCAAGGCTCAGAATTGGAATCAAATGCCAAGCTCGGAATCAATCGATTGGTGCTCGTGTAACTAACATCATCGGAGGGGCAGTGGCTGGTGGTGCTCGTGTGTTTGTGTGAGATGTCGATGGAGAGAAAGGAGAGAGAAGGAGAAGAGAGAGAGAGAGAGAGAGAGAGAGAGAGACGTATATACAAAAAGAAAATAAATGTGTGAGATAACAGATTGCTAATAAATCTATTAAAAAAACAAGTGACAACATTAATAAAAAAAAATCTCAATGTAAAGAATGTGTAATTTTAACAAGAATAAAGCTTCGTCGCTCGAATTTCTCCCCCTCTAATCCCCGAATGTCCAAAACGATGTCGTTTTGGGCATTCTTTTTTTTTCTTTTTTTATTTTTCTTCTTCTTCAACGAGTCTGAGACAGAGGGAGAGGGAGAGGGAGAGAAGAGAGGGGAGCAGCAGCTCCGACCGCCTCCGACTGCCATCATCGCAGCAGCAGCTCTGATCGCCAATCGTTAGCTCGTCGCAGCCCGTTCGTCGTAGCAACAGCCCGTCGCCCGTCGCAGCCCCTCAGCTCGTCGCAGCTCCGGCCCCGCCTCCGCCTCATCCTCCCCCCTGTGGTTATGGCCCCCTCCAGTCGTCCTCCTCCCTTCTCCTTTCTTCTCTTCTCTTCTCCTTCTCTGCTTCTAAAAAAAAAAAAAAAAACTAGGGGGATTCGGGGGAGCTCATTTTCGAGCTCCCTAGCATTACTCTTTTAACAATATCAATAAATAAAAAAAAAAAATTGGAGTAGAAAATTTTAGAAAAAAAAGATTTAAGTATTAGGCCTTGTTTGTTATCCTCTAAAATAATTAAAAAGTCAAAAAGCCACTATCTTATTTAAGTCACATTTATTTAAGTCGCATCACATTTCTATCACATTACTTCAAACTCAACCTATACCCAACTCATATTTCATAAAAAGTCAAAAAGTGCACTTATTTAGAACATCACAAATAACCCCTAAGTTTATAAATTATTTTTGTATTAAAAAAATCTAGATTATAACTAGAATATCTAGTTTATTGGCAAAAAATAAAAATAAAAATCTGTCATATCTACCAGAAATTTATATAACTTTAAGAATGAAAGGGAGTGTAGCATAAGTTTTTAAATAATTTTCTTTTTTTAACTTTTTAAATTCAAATAATTTACATATACTTAGAAGACAAAATATTTCTTAATTTTCTAAAAAATCACTAAATTCAAAAACATATAAAATTTAATATTTTATGATATGAAATGTATGTTATCTTCAGTGCAAATATTTTATAACATATTTTTATATGTCGTGAAAATATACGGCGCTGTTTGGTTGTTAATTCAAATCAATTTTCAACACGTGAGCTCGCGCATGACGTTTGGATACGACATTCAAAAAATTGATTCTGCGTGTTAATTCAAATTACATTTTGAAAATCTGTTTGGCAGCTTGTATCTCATTTTCAACGTTTCTGCCTTCTTCATCGTCTCTGCAACTTTCATCATCTACATCAGTCCTTCCGATTCATCATCTACATCAGTCCTTCAGATTCTTCACGGGTGGCTTCTCCGTACTTCAGATTCATCACGGGTGGGTTTCAGACTCATTTTATAAATAATGAATCCACCCAACCCGCTCTGTATTGGTATCGTGTTTCACAAATTGACTGAGTTACGATTTGTGCGTTGCGGATGATTCTTATTACGGGCAACCAAACAACGATGACTGCGAGGTGAAATTACTCACATATTTATTTACATATTTTGTTATAGGGAAATTATTTGAGAAATTCATCTTAATTTATTTTTAATTTTTTTCAGGTCAAATTTATCGAATTTATTGTCGAATCCGACGAGCAAACAGTGGCACATTTAATCAGTAAACACATTCCATCACCGACGATAACTATTCAACTCCCACTAATCAGGTAAATAAATCCTTCATCCTTTATCTATTATCTGAAAATGATTTCAGACGAGTCGATAAATGATTTCATTCTTCATCCTTCATCCCGAATTGTTTCAACTTTTTTGTTCTTCAAGAATAGTCAGTAAATCAATCTTCATCTGTTATGTATAAATGATTTCGGAGAAGTTGAAATCAGTTCCTAAATGGTTTATGAGAATTTATAGAGGCGCATTTTTCATTTCAGATCGGTTGTTATTTTAAATTATGAACTGTTTGAACCTTTCATCGATCAGAACCTGAAGCGGCAGTGCCTGGAACACCTGGCCGGTCGTCCCCCGGGTCGACCGGCCGGTCAACCACCCGATCCTCCCACTTCTTATGGTTTTGTCTTCCGGTTTTCCATTTCTTCGTTAATGGTTTGAACCTACCGGTCTTTTTTACTGATTTTTTTTTCTTAACCGGGCTATTTTACTAATTTTTTTTCCTTAATTTTTCTTTTACTGATTTGTTTCCTCCTATTTAAACACAATGTTTACTGATTTTTTTTCTTATTTGTGGTTATATTTCTGCTATCTGAATGTTTTTTTTTGTGGTTATATTTTTGCTATTTAAATTCAATTAATCTGTTACATATTTTTTTCCTCAAAATAAAATCTTCTGTTCTTTTTCATTTATCTGTGTTCTCCTTCAAACCATTTTGACGCTGTTATTCTTGTATATCCATCGCAGACTACTTTAAAATACTCTGTTATGCTTGTATATCCATCACAAACTAGTTTAAATATAATTTGTATGTTTATAGATGGATGGAAATAATTCCGATGACAATGAGAACACCAAAATGTGGACGTCCAGAATTGAAACAAAATTAATAAATATGTTCAGAGATGAGGTTAGAAACAATCAAACAACGAGCCGTACTACTTCGTGGACAATTAGGCATTGGAATCATTATGCAAATCAGTTGCACAACATATATGGATTTCGGTATACAGGTGTCAAGGTGCGCCAAAAATATCAGCGATTGAAAGCTGATTACCAGACATTTAAGCGACTGCAGGCACAGACTGGTCTGGGATGGGATCCTATTATAGGCACTATTGTTGCACCCAATGAATTTTGGGATAAGGTTTTCCATTAATCTGTACTATTTTCTAATTTTATTTTAAACATTTCATGATATATACAGTGCTTAATTCTTGTTTTGTAATTGTTGTAGGCTAACAGAAATGTGAAAAAGTTTAGGACAAAAGGGTTTGAATATTTTCAAGAAATGACAGAAATTGTTGAAAATTGTTGTGCCGCAGGGGCCCTATCTCGTGCATCCACACAAGGACCCCTTGTCCCAGAAGAAGAAGATGACATGTTAAATAAATTTTGGAACGCTGATGCTAGTGGGAGTAACGCTGGTGGGAGTAATGCTGCTGAGGCCATTCCTGTTGACTTATTTGGGGATGAGTATATGGATCTAGTAAAGGGCAAAAGGCAAAGGTTACAAGAGGGGCCCTGCAACCAGCCAAACTAACAGTGGTCGTTCCAAAAAGTCATGGTCAAGTGGGTTTGATGATGTGTGCGCAGCTTTCATATCCTATGTACAAGCCAAAACAGGACATTCACGTGCACGAAAAAATGAGACTGAGGCTGTAAGTGCAGGTGGTGATGATTATTCCCTTGATGCATGTCAAGATGCATTGCTTGAGCTTGGGGACATACCACCGTTGCAGTATGTTAGGGCACTGACACTGTTCAAGGATAAGGAATGGCGAAGGTTTTTTATGCGCACTCCTACCCATTTGCGCCTAGCCATGATCCTCGCTTTGCAGTGAACTGAGAAGTCTGTTTTGCTTGTGTTAGCAAATCTTCTTCGCTGAACTGTTTGATGATTTCATTATTCCTGATTTGGCTTTTATTATTATTTTTTTCATTCCATCATATCCTCTTTCCTTTTCTATGTTCGTATGTTTTTTTTTTTTGAACTTTTAAGTGTTTTCTGTTATATTAAAACTATGTTATGTTATTATAATATGACCATGTGTTAAATAAATTTTGTTCTCCTCTGAATTTTACTGTTTCACCAATAACGCTAACTATTACAGCATAAATAACATATTTTATAATTATGCTTTTACTGTGATGTAGACAAAGGCATATGTCATCCGACAGAGAAAACAATACAATGGAGCTCTCATCAGAGGAGGATGAGGATGTTGATGATTTTATGGATTTTTTGATGATTGCTTTAATGCATGACCATATCAACGCGTCAAGTAGTCGCCGACCGCAACAAACGTGTCCATTCAAAGGTGATGATTACATCTTCGGCCTATTAAATGGCCATCCAGAAACAATGATGAACGTTATGCGAATGGATGCACAAACATTCATTTTATTGAAAGACACTGTACTCCATAATGGCTTTATCGATACTGAACATATGCATATCAGTGTGGAGGAATCGCTTGGAATTTTTTTATACACTTTTACACAAAATGATCGCCATCGAATAATGGCAGATAGATTTCAACACTCCACAGAAACAATTTGTCAACACATAAAAATTGTTATGCGGGTATTGTGCAAGCTTTCATCATCGGTTATCAAACCACGTAACCTAGAGGATATACCGGGAAAAATTTTAAATGACAGGAGGTTTTTTCCCTGGTTCAAGGTACGAACAGTATGACTGTCCTGTAAGTTTGTTCATATCAATAAGTGTTAATAAATAATATTTTTTTTTATTATGAAAGTAATATCGAAGTTTGTTTCGCTTTTAATATCAAACAAATATCTGTCAATTAGGATTGTGTCGGTGCTATCGATGGCACATTGGTGGATGCATGGGTCCCTGCTTCAAGACAAAATACATTCTGTGGTCGGAAATCAACGGTATCGCAAAATGTACTCGCAGTTTGCGACTTCGATATGTTATTCACATTTATTAATTCTGGATGGGAAGGTAGTGCTCACGACAACGCTATTCTGCTTGACTCTATTACACGAGTTGATCTACAGTTCCCATACCCACCCAATGGTGACTGTCCCTGAATAACATACGATACACTTTTTTCCTTGTCTGTTTTTGTACATATCAATTGACAGAACTGTGTATTCATTATTTACATGTAGCCAAGTACTATTTAGTTGATGTTGGTTTCACGAACATGCCTGGATTTCTTGCCCCATTTCGGTCTTAACGGTATCACTTGCAAGAGTTTCGTGGCCATCGTTATGCAGGACCTATGGAATTGTTTAACCATCGACATTCGTCATTA